CAAATTGGGCGATTGGGTGGGAAATTGAAAGAGATTTGGTGGTCGAGTGATGAAGACGTCCATAGTGCACACCTTTATATTCTTCTTGATTGCGAGCATCGATTGATTGCTTATTTTGAAAGGTAAATATATAAACATACACACTTATATATATATATATATATATATATATATTCAATATTAAATATATAACATAACATATATGATTTTACAGCCAATTTGTGACTCAAGTCGAGGAAGCAATACCTGGTATATCGACAACTGAGTTAGACAAAAGGAAAGATCAACACTTTATCAAGTGGTTGAGGAAACATGTATTTATTATTACTTAAATTTTATGCATANTATATATATATATATATATATTCAATATTAAATATATAACATAACATATATGATTTTACAGCCAATTTGTGACTCAAGTCGAGGAAGCAATACCTGGTATATCGACAACTGAGTTAGACAAAAGGAAAGATCAACACTTTATCAAGTGGTTGAGGAAACATGTATTTATTATTACTTAAATTTTATGCATACATTACCATAAAGTAAGTCTAATGTCTGGTTATATTATTTTTTGTTGCAGGTTGATTATGACGATCCTGAGTATCCCGCATGGTTTCGCGAATTACTTCAAGGTTCAGTTGCAAAGGTCACTACATCATCGATGTATTTCACCCGAGGCTATACTTTTCATACCTATAACTATGGTAGACACCGGGCGACAAGTAATTATGGAATATGTGTGAAATGCGAAACAGATTTCTACGGGATCTTGCATGAGATTTATGAAATTCAATTCCCAGGTATGAGATTGAAATGTGTTATCTTCAAGTGTGAGTGGTATGACCCCATCGTCAACAGAGGTGTTCGGATTAACAAGAACGGTGTAGTTGATGTCAATGGTGGACGAAGGTACAACAAATTATTTTTTTAATATCAAGGTTTCGAATATTAATTAATTTTTACATTGATCTTTATTTTTGTAGGTACAACAAGTTCGAACCTTTCATATTAGCTTCCCAAGAAGATCAAGTTTGCTTCATTCCATACTCTCGGATTACTACCTCGGGAATAAACTAGTTAACTGTTATCAAAGTTACACCTTGAGGACGAATAATTGCTGGAGAAGAACCACCATTACAAGAAGAAAAAACCAATGAGATCGAGGAACCTGAAGCAGAAATTGATGACAACCTACTCATTGATCCGTATAATCGTGAATACGAAGATGTTCATGATCACTCAACGGACGAAGGTGTAGAGGACGAGTTTTTAGAAAATGGTGATGTTTCAACAGATTACGAGAATGTATCCGGATGAATTATGTATGTTTATAAGTTTGTTTAATCACAAAAATGAATTTGGATTATATATGTTTTAAGTTTGTTTAATCACAAAATTAATTTGTATTTGGGGTTTATGTGTAGAAGAGGTTAGGAGTTTGGTTGTAGAAGAGGTTATAAGTTAAGGAAGTTGTGGTTTGGGGTTTGGGATTTCAAGTTTAGGGATTTACAAACCCTTTCCTCGTAAAACCCTAGTAACAGAAAACGCGGGAATAGTTGTTTCCTCGTAAAGTCATAGTAATACCGTTACTAGGACTTTACGAGGAAACTGCTTTACAAAGAAACCACGTGACGGTCCATAATTAGTTCAATAACTTTTTTTTGGTAAAAGTAACGAAAAATAAAAAATATTAAATTTGAACTTTAAAGAGGGATTCATTATTGTGGGTGCTCTTAGACCATCCGCAGCAGTGAGAAGCTCTTCCCAATTTTTGAAGACATATTCTCACATTTAAATAATATCTTCCACTCTTCCCAATCGGACGTTTCTCTATCAGAGGACTTCAGTCTCTTTAGGAACATTTCATTGTTCGCCTCTCTCTGCGTTTTTGCTTAATTGACATTATTATTCATTAATTTTATGGCAAGAGATTTGGTCAGAGACTAAACGATGTGCATGTTCTTAAAAACTCTAGTTATTCTCCTTTTAATATAGCATAGATAATATAAATGAGATAAAAAATAATAATCTCACAGCGGTTTTTAACATTTTACATATTTGATAAAACAATATATGAAAAACAAAAAAATATAAAAAAATCAAGTATAAACTGACATATATACCACATAATGGAATTATATAAAAATTATATATTTGTTATATTTAAGTTTATCAAGCTAAAATATTCATATTAAAATATTTATGTCAGTATATCTATAAGATTACCTACATAATCTGATTAAAATAATAATTTGTTTTTCAAACATTGTTAGTTAAGTCAGGTTTTAACTTTAATATTTTTTTATCATTTAGAATCGTTGTTAAAAATTGGAATCATAACCCATACATACGAATACAAATTTAAATTTTGTATAGAAGAGATAATGTAATTAAAATAAGATACAAATATAATATATAATTATAATATGATTATCTGTATGATAATTAAAATCTAGATGGTCAAATGCGATCAAGTGTGTGATATTGATTATGATTCATATTTTAATTGTATATTTACGCGAACTTACTTTTACCAAAAATTAACATTTTCATTATTTCATGATATTTCATAATATTAATGTATGATCAATTATTTTCATATAATGATTTTAAAATATTCTGTTTTGATTAATATTGCAATAAAATCTCAAAATGATAAATCCGCCGTATTTGGACCTTGGGTTTCATGCTTTTATATGATAAAATAAGATTGTTTCTAACATTTAGCGCTTCAGATCCCTTATATATTAAAGGAGAAACATTTAAAAAATTGTAACCTCAATTTTGTAATAATTAAAAAAGACCTCATGTTTAGGTGTCACTCAATTAGATAGTCAATTACATTCAATTGAAAAATAAGTAGGTCTACATTCGATTTTTATATGTCTCTAGATACATTCGTTGGTCAAATTATATGATATGATGATATGATATGACATTTATGATAGAAGCATTTATGATTGTTCCCTTAGATATAATTACTATTTTATTTTCTTTCCATAAATAAAACCTACGGAATTACCATAAATGACTCATATATATATATGACACTTAATGATTCTAATAATAAATATTTGATAACAATTTATATATCCTCCATCATTTTTCTTTAATTTTATATTATTAAAATAAATTAAACAATCAAATTAGCTATAAAATTAAACTTTAGATTTTTTCGTATAGGTTATATTTTGAATTTAAAAAAACGAGAATAAATAACTAAACCATTAAAATTATTATGTTAAAAATTAATGATCAATAGTTTAACATTTTTATTATAAAAAGATATACATGATTTTAAATCCATATAAGTAAAAAGTATCATTCAATAATAAAACAAATATATATACAAATTAAACTATATACCATATAAGATTACATAAATATTTTAATTTCAAAATCCTCAATAAATTTTCAAGAACATTTATAAATTATAAAATTATTAAATTTTTCACACTGAAAATTTTTGTTATCAATGATTTAAATATCTTAGTTCTTTTTTAATTTTATATTTTTTAAAAAAATATTAACAATCGATAATATGGTTATTTTTGGTATATACCATACAAACCGAATGGATGTGATTTTATAAAAACCATAGGATTTAGATATGGTTTGATTTATAACCGATTAAACTGAAACATGTAAATATGTATATATTTATAACGACGCATGAATATCTATTTGTTACATGAGTTGAACTATAATTATAATTTGTAAATAGCTAACAATTTATTACAATTTAGACTTCTTATTTTGATCTTTTGCTTTTTTAACAGTAACTAAATTGAAGTAAAAATTATAAATTTGATGGACAACAATTAGTTGAAATTCTTTACAACTTTTTTTATCTTTAAACAAACAGAGTTGTTTTGACCAAAAAAAAAAAAAAAAAAAAACAGAGTTGTGTTCAATCGAAGACATATTGGTTTGATGAACACAAAATATGGAAGAATATAAAAACCTTTATTTCATGCTTCTGTTTTTTTTTTTTTTTTTTTTTTCAAAATTTAGTGTTTTGATATTAATTCTAGATTTGATCATTTTATTAGATGACAGAAGCCTTTTTGTTTTTATTCTTTTATTTAAATATATAATATTTTTTTATTAAATGACTCTGTGACAATATGACTATAAATATGATCATATTATATATTTTTATAATATAATATGATCTCAAACTAAATAATCATGTCTTTGGTATAAAATTGAATAAACTGAAAAATGATGGTATATAAACCAAATCAAACTGAAGTACATATAGATTTAGAATAGTAGTTATATTTTAATAATCGAAATACCAAAAAATCGAGCCGAACTGAAACCCGATATCCGGATTGAACACCTCTAATCCGAATGAAACCGAACTATTGTTTCATTTTTCAAAACATAATAAAAATAATAGTTTCATCCCGCGGAAGGCGCGGATCTTATCCTAGTAACAAATTAAGCGAAAATGACACAACATAAAATTTAATTAAGTCTTAATGATCCACCAAATCTAACACAAAATAAAATAATGACATCTAAATGTGACAAACAAATCAAACAAAAAGACAACCAACATGCATCCAACATAACTTTTGTTTTTAAGGTCACCAACATCAAACTATTTAAAGCATCTTTAAGCGAAATAATATTAAAGTAGGACAAATATGACAATCCTTACAAGATAGTACTTTCATGAATAAAACTAAATATTTCCTGAATGGAACTGGCTATGTCTTCTGCCGTGAACTTCGTTTCACTTGTAATCTGCACATGTTTACATGGACCTCATGTTAGGCTTTAATTAGCAGATACATGTATTAACTGTATCTTAACTGCTAATAATTTGTATTAACTGCTAATAATTTGTACTAACTGCTAATTAAATATTTGGCCCAAGGTATTTAAACAGGTAACCCAGAAGGCAGTACATTTATTTTAGGCCCTTAAATAATTTGTATCTTAGGCCACAAAATTGGTACTGTATATTGGTATTTAAACGCCTATCAGTACGTATTATAACTTGCCTTAACAATGAAGGAGTAGAGAACGGTTTGTTCCATGGTAGTAATGCTAGTGTGAAGAATAGAGAGATGGAGATCTTCCAAAGCAGCCATAGTCATGAGTAATTGGTCTGGTCTTCTTCTTGAAAGTATTTTGATCATGGCATCAAACCCTAGTAGCTTCACCTCCACGTCAGCCAAACATGATTTGTTCTCAATCATTTCCTCCAGAAGTCCTCCGCCCTCTAGTTCGGTTACATTTTTGGTAATAATGAGCGGTTGAGTTTGGTTAGCTACCCTAGTTACGGGGGAAGAAGAAGGATTCGTTGGCCTGGTCATGTCCCCTGTTTGCCTATGACCGGTTTCTTCCAAGATTCTCCGACGCTTTTGCGATTCCAGACACTGTAGGAGTTGCTCGAGCTCTCTTACAAACTCTATTACACCTTCTATGATCGACGCTTGGTCTCCCTATTATTTACATAACATTCAGTTTTATTTACGTATAGTTTGAGACGGTCTCAGTTGTACATATACGTACGTACGATATACTTTTATTATGAATATCATACCCTTTTAACGTAGGAGCCAGGCATGAGGGACCTGAGGACACGTAAATGCTCGTTCATTTGCTTCCGACGGCTCCGTTCGACCATGATATGAGTCATACGTTGATTTTCCACTTCTTCGATGGTGTTGCTTGTTCTAGCTCTCTTCCTCTTTTTCTTCACTTCCTTTGCCGTAACATTATTGTTCTCCATATCTTTTTCTCTTCCTCCAGCAAAACGGAAATGCATGGAGTTATTGTCTTCGTATACACTTAACTCCTTCTTGAGGAGCCTTATGGGAAGACATGAGATGCTGGGTTTGGATATGGTTCTCTGTCCTTTCGTTCAAGGATGGGAAGTACTTCAAGAAAGAAACCGGATCAATCCCGGTTTCTTGAACGGCTTGGTTCCTGGTCCGGTTCAGGGTTTACCGAAGAAGATCGGTGCCTGAGAGGACGCTGAATCATATACATAAATTTAAAATATATACGAGAATATCTTTTAATATATACGAGAAGGAATTAATGTTCGAGATATGGGAAAGACGCATAACGAGTAATATTATCCATTAATATTCGTAGTTGATTATAAACGTCTTAGGTCTAGTTAAACGTTTTCTTGACTCCAACACGACCTTAACGAGAATAATCTGTGGGCTCCAGAGTCAGCTGAAAACATATACATGAAAAACACACACACACGTAGAACAAGTTAATATAAATCGCTTATCATTTGCACCCTAAAAAAAAAAGATAATCTAAACCTAAATAAACATCCAATTTTTTCACGATCTAACCAAACATGCATATACATGCATATGTATACAAATATTTTCTCAGACTGAAACATATATGAAATATAATTTAACGATTAACACCATTTGAACCTTTTTCAGTGTATATGTTAAGAACACCATTAGTACCTGTTTAGTATGTGATGTATTAAACGAAAGACGCCTGCCCTTGTATGATGATTTACTAGGGTTTACGAGAAATGTGAAAAACACAAGACGTGCAAGAGTACAAAAGATGAAGGTTGATATGAGCTCTGTGTATTGAGAGGTCACAGATGAGATCCTTTATATAGAGAAGTCAAAAGTGGTGTTACTTTTTTTTATTTCATACGTCCAATATGATTTGAGATTTGAATATATTGGTTTCAATGATCAAGGGTGATACTTTATCCCAAAAGTGATACTTAATTTGTCCCAAAAAGATCAACGCTGAATATCTCTATTACTAAATTCGTATAAAGTATCTCAATACTTAAAAGAGTAAAAAAAGCTAGAAGCGTTTTCATTATAACTTTTTTGTTAGAAAACATTTTCGTAAACTTATGAGTAATAAACATTTGATTTATAAAATTTATTAAAATATTAACTTTATCTGGTGTAAAAACTCAGTTAAGCGATGAAGCTAATCATACCAGAACGGAATTACAATCTAAGAATTCGAACAATGATCAACCGAGAATAACTCATTCAACCGTGCATGGGCCATAATGAATTCGTTTCATTTCCCAAATTATTGAATTTCTTGTCGGAAAAAAAGTACTGTAGTTCTTTCTTTTCGTAAACGTAATTAAAGTCGAACTATAGGACCACAAAATACTGAAAAG